GATATCAAGAAGTTGCCTGATGAGTGTCAACAAGTCATTGCAAATAATAATTGAATAAAATTTAAATTTGACTTATTTTTTAAAGAATAAAATTGCTTAATGAAAATGGAAATTATTTACGATTTGACCTAATAATGAAAAAGGGAAATTATTTACGATTCAACCTAACAATGGAAAAGTGAAATTATTTGCGATGCATCCTAATAATAGGAAATGGAAATTATTTACGATTCAACCTAATTTTAGAAAGAAAAAGTTTAGCTTTCTGAAATCTGCTAACCTTTGATTTAGATTTTTATTTTTTTAACGCTATAAAACAAATATTATATATAATTATTTGAAGCCGAGTTCCGTAATTGATACATATGAAGATAAACTGATTTTTTATTTTTTTATCTTTCAATTGTTATTCGTTTTAAAAGCGAATTTTATAAGAATGTATGAATCACTGGAAATCGATGATTCCTAATCTTCTGTTTGCTTTATTGTTCAATTATATCCAATCGATAATCAGTGACTGATCGAATATTTTCGTAATATCTAAAAACAACCGATATTCGAAATGAATACCATATTAATCGATAAGCGATCGATGCAGGTATAATGCTAAACGAATATGGATCAATAATTGCCGAAAAATTAAAAAAAATTAAAACAATATAAGAAAAATTCATGCTTGGCAATTACGTTTTTTTTTTTCGTTATGCTCTTAAATTTTTCAAGTGTCCATGAAATTAAAGCGAAGATAGTCGAAGCGTCCTGAGGAATTCTTGACAATAAACTTAACCCTTTGAACCCTGACCCACTGATGAGTAGAGATCTCCTACCCTGGGGCCCCAGCTTGTCCATCTCTGCTGTCCATGACTCTGGAAGTTATATCGGCCACCCGGGTAGAGGCACGTTCACAAAGTGACCGGTATACAATAATAGCACAATTAATATGAGCTACTAGATAGGAGAACTAGGAGTGGGCTGATTTAAAATCAAACAGACAGCAACTGCTCTAATATACATAAATATAAAAATAAGCAAGCAAACAAACAAACCAGGCAACCCAATAGACCTTATGCCGAAACAGCATGCCCTCAAAATTAACAATTTTGCCATAGCCTAAAAAAACAAACAAAACAAAAAACGGCTCCAATATATATATATATATATATATATATATATATATATATATATATAAAACCTAGAGAGTTAGACAAACCTACCAAGGTTTCACCTAAACGGTTCGGCTTAGGTGAAACCTTGGTAGGTTTGTCTGGCTCTCTAGGTTTAACTAGGTTTGCTCTACTCATTGTACTGAGCACTTTATTTAGTTATTTTGATTAATCGTATCGGTTTTTTTTTTTCTTTAGACTTTGGACTTGCATGCTAGACGAT